ATGTAAAGGTGGCTTATTAACTGTAAAGCCTACTGCCTTCTGATTCTCATCATCACCACAGCCCAAGTGCAGCCTTGGTGACAACCAGCGGCACAGTGAACCTGGAGCACAGAACTCTCCATTCCCAGGGGTTTCCAGTCTGCAAGTGACAGTTCCCTCCCTTCTGCTTCCTAAGGAATGAGCTCAGGGCAGATCTCCTAGGCACCAGGGACTCTTTGGTCTCCCAGACCACCTATTTTGAGGAGTTCACAGAGACATCATTGTGTACCCGCCCTCCTGTACACTTTCTTCTAATCTTCCACCCTGTGGCTGGATCTTAATGGTTCTCCACTAAGTAAGGCTGTCTGGAGGTCCCAAGACACTTTCCCTGGACACAGCCCAACTGTAACACCACTCAGTTCCCTTTGAATGCCACAAGCTGCACACGTTTGGACAGTTGTATGTTCATGTGCTATGAGGCTATATATATTGGCATGTGTGTGTGTGTACACATGTGCCCGGCATGCATATATTGGTGTATGTGTGCATACTTGGATGCATATCTGAGCATGTGTATGTAAACATGTGTATTTACGGCTGTGTGGCATGTGCTTGCAAGTGTATGTTGTGTATTTGTGGCATATGTGTTTACCCATGCATCTATTTGTGTCTTTGATGGTGTGTATGCAAATTTAGGTGGACATTTGTGGGTTTGTACTTGTGACGTGTACAAGTGGGTGTGTAAAACTGTGAGGCCTGTGATTGTGCACGCGTGGGAGTGTGCTGGGGTTCCTGGGTGCAGGGACTCTTTTCTCTTTCATCTCCCCTCATCTAGGTGACCTTTCCCTAGCTAAGGACCGATGCTGATGCCACAGGCATGCTTCGGCTAGCTCTTGCCCCCTCTGCAGACCTGTGGCTGCCCAGGTCTTTGGCTTGCCCAGGTCTTAGGCCGGTGTGGACACTGGGGGCAAGGGTGGGTGGGTGAACCTGGGGCCAGGGCTCGTGTGCCACCTCCTCTCTGCCTGGCCTCCTCCCCTCCCCACAGCAGGAGCAGCAGCGGGAAAGGTTGGCGGAGGGGGGCTATTTTGGGAGCGTCTCCTTAGCAACAGCTGCCACGGCCGTCTGTGGCGGTTTTTCTATAGGTGCTAAAATATTCCACCCTGGTGACTAGAGTGCTTGGGGGTGGGCAAGGGTGGGAGCAGAGGGCGGGAGAGACCCCTACAGTCTTCTGTCCCCTGGGCACAGCCTGCTAGGGTGGGTCCTCTGGACCCTCAGTGCCCCTTTCCCCACCTCTGGTCCTCACCCCTCAGGGCTGCTGGCACTTTAGGGCTCTGAGGCAGGCCAGCTGTGTCCTGGTCTGATTTCTAATCTAAGCAACTGGGCTACCTCAGCTGGTCCAGTCTGTAGAATGGGCTTGTTGGATTTTAAGGAGCTCTCTAGACCAAAAACCTTTGGACTCAGTGACTCTGGCATTTTGAGGTGGACCTTTCCCTCCCCTCCCCAGCTGTCCCACCCGCGGGCCCAAGTCCCCCTTCCATCCAGTCCTCCCAGCCCCACTGACACAAGCTCTCAGGGCTCCTGTGGGACCAGGGAGACTGAACTGGATTCCCAGAGTGAGCCAGTGAGTGCTCTGCTGGCCTGGAATGACCTTACTCCAAAGACTAGGAGTGGGTTCAAAGGTTCAAGTTGTAGTTCAGACACTTGCTTATTCCCTGAGTGACCCCGGGCAAGGCACTTCCTCTTCCCATGTCTCAGTTCAGGTTTCTTGCCTGTGAACGAGGGATGATCAAATTCTCCACCTCAGTGAGTTATTGTGAGGGTCAAATGGGAGAATGGAGAACGGGAAGGAAGCTTTGGCAAAACGTACAGGTGGGCAAAGGTTTTTACTATCATTTCCATCAAACTTCAGAGCAAGTATCACCCCTCCAAAGAGCTGTTCCTGGCCACTTGGGCCACGCCACCTGCCTCAGTTTCCCTATGGATAATGAGTACCTGTATCATAGAGCTCTTGTAGAGCTTAAAGGTGCCCAGGACATGCTCTCACAGAATGCTTGTTTTCCTCACTCCATCCAGGTGGTGCTTCTGTGTTGGTGATGACAAAGTCTCCTTGCCCTTTGGGGCCCCAATCCAGACTGTCCCCTTACAGATGAGCCTCTGAGGTCCAGCGAGGACAAGCACCTTGCCCAGGGTCACCCAGGTTCTGACACCCAAGCCTACCCCAACCCCCCCAGCCCCTGCACACCTGTCTCACACTCCTCCCCCTACCTCCCACCCCTGCCCTGCACATGGCTGGAAACTACTCCAACACAGCCAATTCTTCTTTTAGTCCTTAATCATCCTCAGAACAGCCCCTTAACATGGATATTATCCCCCTCATTTTACATCTGAGGAAACCGAGGCCCAGAGAGGAGGAGTGAGCTGCCCAGTCACACAGGGTTGGATGGTGGGAAAGAGACTCTTTTTTGGGGGGGTCTGTGATGCTCTTCCTGCCTAGAGATGCCCTTTCTGCCCCCCCACTTCCTCCCAGTCCACCCTTAGCCTCCACAGGACCCTCCTCACCAGAGATGAGCAAAGGGGGCCACAGGCTGCAGCCCCAGGACTTGCAAGGTGACCAAGACCAGATGTTTCCTCCCAACCCCTGCAATGTCACAGCCACCAGGCCTCCCCCTCTCCTCTCCCTGAAGTCACTGCCCCTGAGCCCCTGCTCTTTCCTTCAGCTAGTGACTAGGGACTCAGCATTGGGTTTGATCCCACAGGAACAGATGCTCTGGAGCTAAGACACCCCTGTATCCATCTCCCCCTTCTCCTGTCCCTTCTCCTTCCTCTGCACTCCACACTATCAGGGCAACCACTAGGCTAGGTAAAGAGACCACAGGACATTTGCCTCACCTACATCCTCCCGCTTTCAATTCATGGAAAGATGTGATAGGTACCAGGCGCACATCACCACTGACCCAGCACTCAGATTGCTTGAGTTCCCCATCCATTCGCACATCAAAGACTCATTCCATGGAACATCAGTCCTGGTTGCCCACCTGTGAGGGCACAGCAGAGTAATGAGTAAGCTGGGTATGGAATGGGCCATGCACCATGGAGGTCTGCACAGTGTAGAAGGAAGGACTGAGAAGGGATGGTCACATTCATTGAGCATCTAATATGAACAGTGCATTTCTTGTGCATCCACCTTATTTAATCTGTGCCTGTGAGAGGAAGGACTGTTAGGGTCCTGATTTTATCGACAGGTGAAATAAAAAATTTGCACAAGGTCATGCAGCTCCTAAATGCTGTTGAGCCCAGGTTGGCCTGATTCCCAAGCACAGGTAACAAGGACCAAACTTGTTCCCAGTGCTGGATGAATGAATGAGTAGGTGATGGATGACTTCTGCTGAGGGCATCAGGCCTTTCTAGGGGAGGCGGTGTGGAGGCTAGACTTGGAGAACAGCAGGAATTCTTGAAGCAGACGAGAAAGGGCATTTCAGGTAGGAAGAACAGCACATGCAAAGGCAGAGAGGTGTGGAAGCATCTGATGTGTTCTGGAATCTGTGGGAACCAGGGTGTATGTGTGGGTATATGGGCGGTAGGATAAGGTGGGGCCTGACTGTGTATCATGCCGAGGAGTTGGGACTGGATTCTTCCAGGTGGGGAGAGTCTGCAGGGAAGGGAAACAGTACTGGTGGCTCATGTATTGTGGTTCCTGTGCCTGCCGCAGCTTCAAAGGATCAGCTTGAAGGAGAAGCCAGAAGAAGTTTAATATTCAATAAGTTCTCAATCCGGTTTTGGTGTTCTTCAGTGTCCCTCTCTAAACTGGGGCCAGTCAGAGATAGCCAGGGAAGTCCTTCTGGCTGTCTAACTGCAGGTGTTCTCTCATCCTCCCACCCTGCATCCTCCAACCTCCTGCATCCTCAGAGGGTTGGAGTGAGGTGGCAGGATGGCCACAGAAATGGCTGACTCTCCAGGGGCTGTGATGCCCCGGGGTCTTCTCCCCACAGTCCAGAGTGTGAGGGCCCAGACCTAGGCTCACTCAGGGCGAGAAGGGAAAGGGCACAATCCTCCCTTATAAAGACATTTTGGGGTAAAGGGGACGCAACGAAGGAAAGACTGGGGTTTGGTGTGGCTCTGCCACCTCTGCATGACCTTAGGCAAGCTCGTGACCCTCTCCGGTACTCAGTCTCCCCGTCTGTAAAATGGGGCCCGTGCCGCCTAGTTGTGAGGGTCACACCAGCAGGGCCACACCTCCGTTTCCGGAGCAGGTTGTGTAGGGTCCTTAACTGCCGGTACTTCAGGAGGGTAAGGGGGGGACCGTCGAGGGGAGTGCCCCGGTGCTACTGAACCCGGCACCTGCCCTCTCCCACCCACTCCCTTCCCGACACGGAGAAACTCTCTCCACCTGCCCCTGGGGGGAGACAAAACCCGGGAACGGATTTAGGAAGGGGTTCTGGGAGGAGCGCTCCTGGAGGGAGGAGGAAAACCCGGGCAGGATCTGGGGCAGGAGCGGACCACGCGGCCCCCAGCCCCTGCCCC